GGCTCCCTCCGAGGGTGGCTCGGCGGAAGCTCAGGCGGGCTCGACTAGGCTCCCCTCCTCGACCGGCGGAAGCGAATGTCCCGGGGACTCGCGCGGAGGCTCGGGAGGCCCGTCTAGACAGGTCTCCGATCAGCCTGTCGGGGGGAACGACCATGCCCCGGCCGAGCCGGGCAAGGCGGAGCCAGGAGCCGGAGCTACTGGGGATGTCTCTCCTCTTCTCCCTCCTGTCTCCTCCTCTCCCCCTCCCCTCCCCGTTTCCCGTCCTTCTCCTCACCTGGTCCCCTCGCCTCACTCGGGCTCTCCCACGGGTCCGGGAGGCTCCAGTCAGTCCACTCCGAGGGCGCGTCTGCGACAGCCAGACGACGTGCCCGTGAGCATCTTGAGGGGAATGAGTCAGCAGAGGACGGACCTCTCCAGGGCTAGCAGCAGCCCTCCCGAGGTCAAGAGGCTGAGGGTGGAACCTCCTCCCGGCCTCCCCGCTCCTCCTCCTCCTCCTCCACCTCCGCCGACACTGCCGTCTCCGACCGGCGCCCGAGGTCCGGCCGAACCAAGGGGAGAGGGGGTCACGCGAGGAGTGAGCTCCAGCTCGGCTGGTCCTCGGAGGCCGGTCCAGGACATGATCCACGACCTCGAGGCCGGCAGGCCCAGAGGCCGGAGCCGTTCACCTCCCCGCGGCGAGGCGCCGGCGGACGGAGCGGCGGAGGACTTCCTCATCTCCCCCCTCGGTGATGGTGGTGGTGAAGGTGTCCAGGCCAGGAGTTTGAGCTCGGAGCTGGGGGTCCAGGAGGGATGGTCCGGAGTGGTGTCGTCTGAAGGAGGGGACTTCGCGGCCAGCCGCGGGGGAGAGATAAACTTGAAGAAGCTGACCCCCGCCGAGAGAGAGAAGTTTGCCCTATCAGACAGCAAGGAGTGGAAGGCCATGCTTGGTACCGGTGCCGTGGAAGTTATTCCCCCCTCCAAGGCGGAAGTCGTTCGGAAGCAATTGCCGGATCGCATCATCTCTTCGAGGATGGTGCGCCGGTGGAAGCCGGTGGAGGGCACCTTCCAAGACCCAGAGGCCAAATCACGTTGGTGCGTACACGGTCACCGTGACCCTGATTCTGGTTCCCTGCTAGTATACGCTCCAACACCACAGACCTCGAGCATCATGATGTTCCTTCAGGTCATCATGAATCTGGGGCTCCGGGCCGATATTGCCGACGTGAAGAACGCCTTTTGTCAGAGCGACCCCATGGTTAGGAGTCAGGGACAGATCTACGTCGAACCGTGCGAAGGCATCGACCTTCCTGCTGGATCTCTTATTCTCCTGCGTGTCAACGTGTACGGTCTAGACGATGCGCCCATGGCCTGGAGAAAGACGATCGTTAGTTACTTGGGCCAACACGGGTTTACTAGGAGCTTACTCGAGCCGTGCTGGTACGTGCGGTACGGTTCTAAGGGTGAGGTGCTCAACATGATTCTCCTAGAAGTAGACGACTTCTTCATCGGCTCGTCCTCAGAGAGTTCGCGGCGGTGGCTGCGTGAACTATTAGAAGCACGTTTCAAGTTCGGCAAATATCGAGACTGCCACAGCGGTCCCGTGGACTATGCCGGACGAAGGATCACGATCGGACCTCAGCGTGCCACTGTCGACATGGAGAAGTATATTCTAGAGGAGGTGCGACCGGTCACGGTACAAAAGGGAAGATTAGCCAGACGTGACCTACCTCTTGAGTCCGAAGAATTCAAGGCCCTTCGTTCCTTAGTGTACAAGTTCAATTGGATAGGGCGAGAAACTAGGCCAGAGGCTGCCGGAGTCGCCAGCATACTGGCCAGCCGGTTAAAAGCAGCTACGACAGGAGACATCTCCCTGGCGAACAAATTAGTTCGACACCTTCGCTCCTCGGCCTCACGAGGCTTGATCGTGTGGAAGCTAGATCCCGAGCAGATGTCATTCATGTCGTTCTCTGACGCCGGAGGGGTCGGAGCATTCGACAACCTCACGGACGAGAAAGGACTGCCAGAAGATCCCACTCAGGGAGCGTGGATGATCCTTGCGTGCGACAAGAGCGTGTTGTCCAATCGGTCCGTGCGAGCGTCCATCCTAGGATGGCGCAGCTCGAAACTCCGGCGGAAGGTACCCTCGACACTAGCTGGGGAGACTCAGGCGTTGGCAGCTGCGGTCGCCGAAGTGGAGTACCTACAAATCCTATATAGAGACGTGGTCTTTGGAGATGTCAGTGTCCGAGATCATCATCGTGGTTCGGGACCGTTCACTACCGTGCTTAGGCACAACTGTCGTCTGGGTTCCAGGGAAACGCAGCTTCACGTAGTAGACGCTAAGTCTATCTACGACACAATGATGAAAGAAGGCAATGCTTCAGCCAAAGACCGTCGTACTGCCGTGGACCTCGCCATAATATGCGAAGCTCTAGAGAAGGCACAGGGTCGTGTTCGGTGGATACCGCATGGCCGGATGCCGGTAGACGCGCTTACCAAGGACGACGTTGGCAAATGCAACGCCGCGTTGTTCGATCTTATGTCGAGTGGCCGTATCATTCTTGTGGACGAGGGGGCAGAAGTCGAGCGTAGACGAGACGACCCAGGACTCAAGAGCAGGACCCAAGCAGCATCCAGGAAGGTTCTCGACCAGTCGTCCAGCATGATCTCTTGGCAGGAGTTCCAGTCCCAGGATCCTGGTGGCGGTGGTGGTGTCGTGGTTGGTCCTCCCCTCTCTCCTTCCTCTCTCCTTCCTCCGGCGGCCGGGGACAGCAGCAGAGGTAGCATGGAGGGCCTGTTTCAATGACAGGACGTTCCCGGAATTCATTATCATAGTTTCAGGTAAGAAGCGGATCGAGCAGAAGACTCGATGCAGAGTTTCAGGGACGGCTTTCCAATTTAGGGATAGCTGAACCTACAAGAAAGTTTGGGGCATGTGACTGGTGCCCAGATTTCGTCGTTTAGGTTCAGCACTTTGGATTTCCGTTCCTTCGCCGATATGGCTCAAGTCCAAAAACCATCTCGGGGTCACTGCTGCTGCCACACTGTGGAATAGCTGCAACTTCCGCTGTATGAGATGCTTCCGCGTTGTGTCGCCTGAATCCTCCAAGCTTTGGCCGCGCACGTCGGCAGGATTATATCAAGTAGCTAAGAATGCGCAGCCACACCATGATCATACACATGTGGGGTGGCTTGGTGGCCTGTACGTCCAATCCGTATTGTGAGGCATGCGGTGGGTTGACCAGCGGTGCCAAGAAGCCCAAGACTATGATCCTTGCCCTGATGTAGTGCCAACTGAAATCCGCCGACCCTGTCAGCGTGTGTGAGAAGCTTTTCCGTTCGAACCGTCGTCGTCGCCGCTTCCCCCTCGAGCGCTCCAGCCAGAGGGAAACGGAGCAACGTCGTGATTCGAGTCGAGGGGGGAGCCCCTTCCTTTGATCCCCCCCCGCTGGGAGGGGATGGTCCTCCGCCTCCTCCTGCTCCTCCTCCTGCTGGGGGGATGGGGTGGTCGGGTGGGGGATGGCCCTGGGGAGGGGGGGCCCGAGGGGGCGGGTGGTTATGAGGGGTGGCCTAAATGGAGGGGGGAAGAAAAGGGCGCTGAAGTGCCCCTTGGGGGCCCTTTCTCCACCCCAGCTTTATGTCACCCCCCCTTACCGCCCGCCCGATTTGGGCGGGAGGGGAGGTTCGAGGGGTTGTGACACCCCCTTAGGGGCGAGCACCCCTCCCTGGGAGAAGCTTTCGGCTCCAGAGCGTCAGCGTTGTCGTCGTCATCGCCGTTGTCGTCGTCGTCCCTCTTCAAGGTCGGCGGCACTGGCCGTAAGGCCGTCACAATAACAGATTTATGCCGTGGGGAAGTGCCTGGCACAACGCAACGTCGCCGACCCATTATGATTTAGAAGGCGTGTGGAAGTAGCGCCCTTCCCTAAACTCCTCCCCCGGGGGCCTGGTCCAGCTGGTTTGAAGGGAGGGGGCTTCGGCTGATGCGGCTGGCGGACTCATCTGGGCCCCAGCGGACTCATCTGGCCGTGGACAGCTCCAAGGTGTGTACAGATCGTCCAAAGAATCTTCATGACGGTCTAGAATTGCTCCGCGGCGGCCCAAGATACGTTCAAGAAAACACCAGATGGCCTCAACCCCGGCCCAGGGGCTCCCAAGACGGCCCAAGAGAGCATCATGAGGACCTCCAAGAGGGCACCAAGAGACACACACACACATATGGATCGGATTTTCACAGACGGAGGTCCTCTCGCTTAGTGGGCTGGTAGATTCACGCAGGTTGCGGGGGAGGGGGGTGCAGCTGGTCTGTAGCCAAGCTTGTAGGCGCGTGCAGAATTTGCAAAGAACGACGCCACCCACAGGCCATGTCAGCGGACCAATCGGCACCCTGTGAAAGGTGCGAGTTCTGTGGAGGCTGGCTCAGGGCTGATAAGGTTGCTCAGGCGCGGGGGTGGTGGTGGTCGATGATTCTCATGCGTTTGGTAAAAGTAGTGTGTGTGTGGGGGGGAGAGGATGAGGAGGATGAGCAGCATGATGAGGAGGACGGGACAGGACATCGAGGGTGGAGGAAAATGGAGGAGGTCGAGGGACATGGCCAGGAGGCGGAGGAGGATGAGTTCGAGGGGGCGGATGAGGATGAAGACGAGGGGAAGGCGGAGGAGTGGGAGAGGGAGGAAGGAAATGAGAGAAGGAGTGGTGGTAGGCGAGGCGGCTGTGGGTAAGCTTCAAGGATGGAGGGGGAGTCGCAGGAGTAGCAGCTTCCCCAAACTCTCCCTCCCCTTGCCCCCTCCCCCTGCCCCATCCTCCTCCGCCGCCACCTCCTGCTCCTCCTCCTCCTCCTCCTCCCTCCTCCTCCTCCTCCTCCCCTCCTCCTCCTCCTCCTCCTCCTCCTCCTCCTCCTCCTCCTCCTCTCCTCCCCTCCTCCTCCTCCTCCTCCTGCGCCTCCTCCTCCTCCTCCTCCTCCTCCTCCTCCTCCTCCTTCGCCTTCTCCCTCCTCCTCGTGCTCCAGCCCCCTGCGCGCGCGAGCCTGTAGATCTGGCTGGGGAACCAGTACGGGTACAGGAACTCGGCCTCGGCAGCGCTGCCCGCGGCGAACGCGCTCTCGAAGAGCACGCGGGCGCCCTCCTCGGGGCGTGCGCGCGGGCGCGGCGAGGGCGAGCCGCTCGCGGCTGCGCGCGCCGCGCGCGACTGCACGTGCCCAGCCCTTCGCCGCTCGCGCCCGGCGTCTGGTGAGGAGCGAGCGCGGCTCCTCCGAGACTCCGACTTGTTGGGGGGTCGTTCCCCGACATCCTCGGGCAGTCATGCCGCCGTGCCCACTGGACCGAAGATCGAGTGGGCAGCCCTGAGCAGCAGCCGCGCGTCAAGATCGGCTGAAGGAGTAGCCGCTTTCACGTCGACCCCAACTCCTACTGCAGCAGATATGACCGAGCGCAACCAGCAGTAATGCTTCGGCTTGGGACTGGCCTTGTCGCCAACCCTTTGAAGAGACGGTCCCCGCGTCTCCTCTTCCTCCTCTCCTCTTCTCCTCCTCCTCTCTTCCTATCCTCCTCCTCTCCCTCCTCCCTCCTCCCGTCCCTCCCACTTCGGCACCATAAAGGGGCTCCACCGAATGCCCCAGTGGCTGCGTTCACATGCCGCCACCCCTCCACTTTGGGACACCCCTCACACGTTTCGTGGCTCCATAAAGGGGCTCCACCGAATGCCCCAGTGGCTGCGTTCACGTGCCGCTACCCCTCCACTTTGGCACGCCCCTCACACGTTTCGTGGCCCCATAAGGGGGCTCCACTGAATGCCCCAGTGGCTGCGTTCACATGCCGCCACCCCTCCACTTTGGCACGCCCCTCGCACGTTTCGCGGCCCCATAGGGAGCTCCACCGAAGGCACCCGTGGCTGCGTTCACATGCGTTTCCCTCGCCCAGTTCAACGTTTCGTTCCCCCAGACGGGGAGCCCGCCGAAGGCCCCAGCGGCGGTGTCCGCATGGGTTCCCCCCACCCAGTACGGCGTTTCGTGGCCCCACAGGGAGCCCCACCGAAGGCCCTAGTGGCGGTGTCCGCATGCGTCTCCCCCACCCAGTACAACGTTTCGTGGCCCCATAGGGAACTCCACCAGAGGCCCCTCTGGCGACGTTCGCATGGCGGCCCCGCTCCATTTCGGCACATCCATCACGCGTTTCGCGGCCCACATGGAGCACCACCGAAGGCCCCTATGGCTGCGCCCGCATGCGTCCCCGCCCCATTCCGGCACGCTCTTTACAGAGATCCACCGAAGGCGATGCGGCGATACTCACAACTGCACACGGTTGGGCCCTTCGCCAAGATCATCTTCCCTCTCGCTGCTGTGAGCGCTTCCGGGTGCCTCCTCGTCCAATCAATGCCCTCGCTCGCCCTTGAGCGAAAGCCAATTCTAGGCGGTGCACTTTTGTTTGGTTCTGGCGTGGCTACTCGTTTGCGCAGCACGGCAAGACGTTCGGTTGCACACTGCTGTTCAAACAAGAGTGCGGGAGGCGCTCCGCCCTATCCATAGCTTACGGTCTTGACGCCTTGCGGCGTTGGCACCCATGCTGCAGCGCCTCAGGTTTGGGTCAGAGGCATTCGCTAGCAGGCCTGGGGTGCTTCATCTTATGACATCTGCCGCCGCGCCGTTTGTTCTCGACGCGCCCAAGTGGGCGACGCCGACACCACGGCAAACCCAAGGCAAACCCTGCTCCCCGCGCCCAAGTAGACGACGCTGGCATCGCGGCAAACTCCACGGCAAACCCACTGTGCCCGAGGCGGCGCTTGCCCTGGTGGCCGAGGAGCCCTCCCCAGGACGGGCCGCGTGTCGGGACAAACACGGCGCGGCGGCATATCACCTTGTGATTGCGTCCACTCCACTCCACTTCTCCTCCTCTTCTTCTCCTGCCGCCTCCGCGCGGGCGAAGGGGCGCCAGCGTGCGCGGGGGGGCTGGGGGAGTTGGAGGAGGACGCGCGCGAGCGCGCAGCGCAGGAGGAGACGGAGGGGGGGGGAGAGAGGGGAGGGATAGAGGGAGGGAGGGATAGAGGGAGGGAGGGGTAGAGGAGGAGGAGGAGGAAGAGGAGAGGAGAAGGAGGAGGAGGAGGAGGAGGGCGGAGGGCGACGAAGAGCAGGAGTAGGAGATCGCCGACGGCGACAACGACGACGACGACCCAGGTCTAGATTGGTGGGAGGGCAAAACTCGACCGCAGCACCTGCCGCAGCTCTCCTCGCATGCCGCCTGGCCCGCCTCGTCGTCGTCGTCGTCGTCGTCGACCTCCTCCTCCTTCTCCTCCTCATCGTCGCTCTGGTATCCTGGTCCTCCTGTGGGCCTCCTTCGCCTCTTCCTGGCTCTCCGAGGGGCCTCCTTATCCTCCTCGCCTCCTCCGCAAACTCGTCGTCTTCATCGTCAACGAGGCCTCCCCAGGAGGCGCATGCTGGAAAGGCAACCTCTCGGCCTCTAGACTGTGGCATTGACAACAACCTCCCCGTCTGCCGCACCGCTCGCGCCTCGGCGTCGACGGAGGCCCAAT